ATCAACTCATGCAAATTCTTGTAGAGCTAGCGAGTTTGTTTCTGGTACGATCACAGTATTCGGGAATAAAAAGAAGCTAGGAAAAGTGTGGGAGCAGTGGGCGATCTTCTTGTGAGCTAGCGAGCTGGCACCGCTCACGTCGCGCGGCAATGCCAGAGTTGCGCTACCGCATCGACACAGTTGTCGTTGGAGCGAGGGACCTGCTCTTGTGCACGGCTAATTTATTAGAATAGCAGTAGAATGGACCCTATTGATAATTTGAAGAAGCCATGAGGCAACACGGCTCGTGCACAAAAGCATCGGCGTTGCAGGTCACATCCACAACCGCGGCCACCCACGACAGAATCGCCACATACCTGGGGGCTGTGCAAAGAGACTCCAGCGTAGAAAAGCCTTCCCTTGCGACATCCACTGCACATTTACGTTCACCCACATCGCGGCTTTTCCCTCCTATGTCTATGCGAAAATCTTCATTCCGTCCATATCCCTCAAAACTTTCTTTGCGCGTTGCAGCACTGAATACCTTCCAACACCGTTAGCTTCGCAGAAATTTACAGGACTTTGAAAATTTGCTCGGTGTTATCAGAGAAAAATACGAAACACCCCTCTTCCAGTTCTCGTGAGCGGACTTGTGCCTGAGCCAATTTTGTTGTTGTTGCCGGTGTTGCCCAGTGGTGCGCAGTTGCTTCGCAAAATAATCCGAAGTAGTTATGAATATCTTTACCAAGTTTCCTCCCTTGTGTTTGTGTTCATGTTATGTGTTTAGTCAGACCGTACCCTCAAACAAACAGGACACTATTTATTAAAAGATATACGCCTCCCGCGATGTTTGGGCGATCTCGCTTTCTCCAGATTTTGAAGAGTCAGGAGGAATTAGGAAAACCTTACACCAAGCACTTTTTACACCTACGGAGACAACTGAGCAGGTTCTTGATTGGTAGAACTATCTTGGAAGCTTTAACTCTGAAGCTGAGTAAATTCGAATTTAAGATCCTCAGGCTCTTCGGGATAGGATAGGAGCTCCAAATGAGCTTTGACACATCTGGAGGTTGGATTCAACAGCGTCCACGGCATCGTTATAGTAGCGTACGATACTTCGAGTTTTCTATCTAGGTCTAAAAGTGTTTGGATGGATGCTTTCGCTCTTCCAAGCTCTGAAGAAAGCAATATCGCCGAAACATCTGGCCAATAAAGGAGGTCTTGAAAATCCTGGATGCAAAATCAGTGAAAACTCAGACTCATTCGTACAGTATGCCGACATTGAAAGTCGAGCATGTACAGCTCCTCCAGCAATTTGAAGGGGAACCAATCCAAGCAACAAAAAAAAGAAAATCATTCGAGTGCGCGCTCTGTAACCACGTGGGAGCGCTTTTCGTCTGACAGCGCTATATCCTCCCATATAAGTGTTTAGTTCCTTGAGTCCCCGGAATCAGCTTGATTGG